GCAATGATATCCGAAGTTAGCTTCATATTTTTTACAATGCAAATATCATACTTTCCAATGACGTCAGGGACATCATCAAAGGGGACCACATCTACCTAAAAGAACACAAAACAAGACATTGAGAGGATGCACAATGAGGAATGAGGCAAGCTTCATTGATATTTATTTCTAACAAAATAAGCACAAATCCAACAAGTAATATTCCTTTGTTTTGTTCTGTCTCTTGGCTTAAGTTTTATCACACAGATTCAGATTAACGAAGTAAATTTTATTAAAAATTTATGCACGCCAAGTTTCGGTTCTCCAGATTTACTCAAATAGTAATAAACTACTCCATGATTCCATCCACCCAAAGTCTTACAAAATTCTCTCATTTATCCAACTAATTCAATATGCAAAACATTAACTATAAACAAGATTAAGGGTAAAAAGTGAAAATTGAAATAGTTCTCTTTGGTTCTAAAAACGAAAAATAGAATGAAACAAGTTTCATTTCAAGAAGACCCGGATAGGAACAAATGGAAATGGAGGGAGTAGCTGTAATAATGAGAAATAAACGAAAACTGCAAGCATATTAAACGAGATGAAGCACCTGTATAAACGGATAGCTTCGCAAATACTCTCGAGTAAAATTATGCGATCCCGGGAAATAAGGCCCACAGAAAAGAACACGAGTGATGGACTCACCACTGTCACCAGTCATATCTTGAAATTTTCTCATCAAAACTGCATCATATAAGCAATGAAATCAAAACCTCAAACTAAAAGATTATGCATACTAATGTCTGTATGAAATAGAACACCTGCATAATAACTTATACATCTTTCGAATCTCCACGAAAGAAGAAGGTCTAGCATTAGGATTTTACAAACTCAACTGTTTACAAACCAAATGCAAGTAGGTAATTTAAGCGTCAAAAAAGAATTGTTCTTTTTCCACAGAGCAGAAAACCCATTACGAATTTACCACAAAAAACTCGTAATCTTTAAGAAAAACTCAAGCTTGCACAACCTCAAAACACGAATTAAGGCAAATGTCAACCACAGAACAGTGTACTGTAAGAACATGAA